TATGATAAAGTTTACATTTAGAAATTCAAATATTTTCTGTTTTTTTATCTGCGCAGCGCTTATAGAGGTATTCGACTATTTGCTATGATTATACACACCTTTATATCTCATATAGGCACCTAATACAAATACGAACAAACTCCGTATCTATGTCGAACAATCATAGGTGTTTATCCTTCGCATACCTTCGTATTATATATTATTATCATGCGTAATAAAAATATCGTACATCTGTACATTTCTGTTGCTACAAGTCGGCCGTGCTCAGTGCTGTACCTATTATATTTTATATTGTATACGGAGAAGAACGTCATCCAACCCGTTTCGCGCACGCACAGCAGAATAATAATATTATATAGATAGAATAGGTATGTATGTGTGTATTACGACGAGTGGGATTCACTTTTAGATGTGTCAAAATTTCGAAATCGATTTAAGCGAAAGTTTACGATTTAAAATTCAAATATACCGTCCTTTTGTGTACAGCGCGTACCTATATAGATATATAGAGCGTCGGGGACGTTCGCCAAAGAGAATTTAAAACATCGTCGAAACACCCGTCAAAACGGTTGAGCACTTTAAAGGGTAAAGAAAAAACCTGAGGCGACATTGTGGACTCAGGCCAAGGGTCGTATATATATATGTATATGTAATATGTATAAATAGGGGGTTGTCGTGTGCGTCGTGAGTAATGCTGTAGGTATGTGTGTAGGAGACCACAGGTAAACAGAGTTACACTGCAGCAGTCTGAGCTTTGTACGTATATATACAGGGTGGGTGACCGTGTTCTTCCTTTGTTTTTTTTTCCTACGTTAGCCTTACGGGAATAATATACGCCGACCCGCACTGTATATTATTCTACGTGTGAAGTAGGTGTGCGATATATATATATAATGACGATTAATATCAAAAGCCGACCTAGAAAGATCGTGAGAGCAAGGGATGACGGTCGACACGAGCATTAATAATACATGTATGCGCCATTATTCTTTTGCCGCCCGTGACTCGTTAAATAAAAGTGCAGAGAACAAAACCTGCCACTCTATATATAGGTATCCGTTCGAAACATTTTTCAATTACAACAATGTACTAGTGCCTACCCATCGTATTCAATCTCAACCTTAATAATTATGCTAGACTTAAAAGTAATCTACCCCGATTATTATTATTATTATTATTATTATTATTATTATTATTACTGTTGTTGTAGAGGGAGATAGCTGCAGCAGGTCACGCCTGCTATATAATCTTCTTCTTCTTCTTCTTCAGCTTAGCGGTCCATTCAGGACCATCGCTGCCATCAAAATTTCTCTCCACCTCTCTCTCTGATATGCTATCTCTAAAGTTGCGTCCTGGTCAATCATTTCTATGTCTTTGGCAACTACGTCAATCCATCGGGTTTTGGGTCGTCCTAGGGGTCTCGTTTTATTTATTTTATTGATAAGTACATTTTTAATTAATTGTCCATCTGCCCTCCATACATGTCCAAACCATTCTAGTCGTTTTTTCCTAATAAAGTAGAGTATGTCTGGCTTATTATAAAGAGACTTTATATTTTCGTTGCTTCTTCTATCGTATGTCAGTGTTTCTGGGTTGAAGATTGGTCCATAAATGGTTCGTAACACTTTCCTTTCGAATGTGATAAGTATTCTGCTATCACCTTTAGTTAACGACCAGGTTTCACAGGCGTATGTTATCACAGGTCGAAGGTAGCTATGATATAGTAGTATCTTTGATCCTCTCGATAACAGCTTAGACCTCAGGAGTTTGATAATACTGAAGTAACATCTATTTCCACTAGTGATCCGTTCACTTATTTCTATATGCATATCATTTTTGTTGTTGATGTTTACGCCTAAATACTTAAAATTATCAACTTTTTCAAATTTATAATTATCCACTACTATGGAATCTATATTTGGTGGTCTTCTCGATACGACCATATACTTAGTTTTCCCCTCGTTTACATGTAATCCTATTCCTTTACTTGCATTTATGAGTTTAGATGTTGAGTTGATGATTTCCTCTTTGGTTTCACCCATCAGCACAATGTCATCTGCATAGGCTAACCTAACTTGTTCATTGCTTATCTCCATCCTTCTGTCATCGTTTGTGTCTCTAATTATTTTTTCGAGGGCTAGGTTAAATAGAGCAGGTGACAACGCGTCCCCTTGTTTAAGGCCAGATTTGACTTCAAAAGGATCTGAGATGCCTTGCATATAACACACTCTGCAAAGTGTTTTTTCGTAACATGCTTTTATTAGGTTCACATACTTTTTGGGTATTCCTAAAATTACCAATGCTTTCCAAAGCTCTTCTCTGTCTACACTATCATACGCCTGCTTGTAATCCACAAAGACTAGATGCAGGTCCTTCCCAAATTCGTAGTATTTTGACATTAATTGTCTTAGCGCGAAAGCATGGTCTGTTGTGGATTTTCCTCTCCTAAACCCGCATTGGTAATTCCCAACTATTTCTTCAACATACGGGTTTAACCTTTCTAATATCAGTGTTGTCAGAATTTTATAGCATGTGTCCAGTAGCGAAATTCCTCTATAGTTCTCAGTTTTAGTAGGGTTGCCTTTTTTAAATGTTGGGCATATAATTGCAGTTTTCCATTCTTCCGGGATTGTCTCAGTTTTCCATATTGTTTTAATAACTTCTATAATTTTGCTCACCAACATCGTACCACCTTTTTTAAGTAATTCCGCTACTATGCTGTTTTCTCCTGGGGCTTTGTTATATAATATAAAATATAATTACGCTTGTTGTTCGGTCGTCTTTATAACCAGGTATGTAGTGTATATATTCGAAATTATAATTGAATATCAAAATGCAATGTTCGCACAAAATACACGAAATCAATACGAACATGTCATCCTCTGTGTAGTTGAAATAACAGGGCGCCAAATGCCTGCAATGATGATGTGATTAAAACGAGTTTCTTGTTAGATGTGGGTGGAGGGGTGCCTTATCGGTACTGTCACGGCTTAAGTGGGTTGTACTCAGCTGTGTATTTATATTCGCGAGTAGCACATATAGTAGCGGTACATTTTGAGGGATGTCAAAGTTTTTAAGTAGATTTTTTTACTTTATTGACTATTGTGGGTGATCATCATAATACCTATTAAATTGTTATAATATGGTTACGTGTAATAATTACCAATACTGTTTGTTATATTATGTCGATTTTGTGACAATAATTAAAAATGTTCGACGGGTATTTTATACACATCGTCTCTCACTCGACACGCACTAACACGCCATTGCTGCTGTGGAGAGTTTGGCGAGGATTACTATTATTATTATATTATGTTCGTAGGCCAAACCGTATTGTTGTATCCATCATAATATACATATACGTGTATATATACATAAATTTATGAATGAATGATATCCCGTCTTCGTCGTCATCATAATAATATATCCCTTGCAGCTCTGTCCTCGAAGCCTGTCAACATCCGAATTCTCGCGTAATGTATTCCTATTATTCGTGCACTTCGGCGCATATATTTGTATATATTATATAGTCGAAGCGAGGAGAAAAAAGATCGCTTGATCCCTTCGCACGCCGTTGTCGAATAACGTCGGGTGTATCATTAATATTTTCTATTTGAACGTTTCTCCCGGCGGCGCAGGAGCGGGAGGCGACATCCCAAAAGTCTCGCATAGAAAACACTATACGACAACTCTATAAATAATATATTTTATAGGTATTGTATGATGTCATATATATCGTGTATATATATATATATAAGGTGTAGGTACCTATATAACACGTATATAATAATATATACCTGTATTGGCAAGTATTGTGTTTGTGTGTGAATGAAATTCCGTGCTACGCGAGACGCGTAGTCTTGCAGTATACGTTTAGCCGAGGATTATACTATGTATATTAGTATTTAATGTATACCTATATACATATATATATATATATATATATATATATACTATTGTGCTCTTGTATGTGTATTTTATCAATATAGTACGTCGTTTCATTCATCATTGAGCCATTAATTGGATCTGCACATTTTCTATTCCGCTGCGCTTACGAAAATACTTTTGTGAATACGCGTGTGCGCGTGTACACAATAATATATATAAATACAATGTATACTGTATATGTTATATAATACGGTTCTCACGGAGATTTGTGTAATATATATGCACGCCCCCCACCCGTCCAAACTCGTCCACCCATGCAATGTAGCTGGATAGGCATCTCGTTTATTCGATGAACAGTTTGCTCTAATATATAGATAACAACAGTGTAACGTCCTTTTTTTTTGTGTCCCACCTATTTACTTGAATAACGATTCGCCACCGATTATTCGCTCACCCTCTTTTTCCTCTTCGATAATTAGCAGTTATTAAAAACCTGATTCTTGGTATTTTTTATATTAGTACTGAAAGACCGTATTTTAATTCTTCATATTTTTGGTTCAACTGTTAAGGGGATTATAAAAAACTCTCCTGTGAAGATACAAACTCTTGTTTTTCAAACGATAACCCCCTCCCCCTATCCTCCCTCTCATAAACTATTTAGTATATATTTTTCTGAAAATGTTGACGTACCTATCAATCCAAATCGAAATTCGAACGTTTTGTGTTGATACCCAGTATCACAATTTAGTTTAAATTAATCTATTCATATAATTCATACAAATGGTCCAAGTAACTATAGTAAAATATACTATAGATCCATTGTTAATTTTTTTTTTAAACCATCTTCGAGGACTATTATCTATAATATAGGCATTTTAATAACTGAAAAATGACTTGTTCTTTCATTCAATTAAATTGAATACATCAACATTTTCAAAAAATAATTTACTTTTCCCAAGGGGGATTATCATATTTTGAAAATAAAAAGTTTTTTGAGCAATAAACATGCTTGGTGAATCACCTTGTACATTTTATATGCACATATATATGTGTGTGTGTGTGTATGTACAAAATGCAATTTTAACAATTTTTTCCTTCGTTTTTGTTTCCAGGTAAATCGCCCTTTTTTCAAACACTCGAAGATCAAACGGGATTGTTGGACGACTCTGGTTCGCATTTGATCGATACATCCGTGCAAGCTCTGACGTCGCCATCTCGGTCGTCGCCCCACAGTCAAGGATCGGAAAGCAGCGAAAGGTTTTCCAGGAAAGTTTTTGTAGGCGGCTTGCCACCGGACATCGACGAAGGTGCGTTTATATTTTCATACCCTGCCGTCAGTCTTAAAAAATAAACGATTCGATTTTGTTTGAATATCAATGTTTGTCAATATAATCTAATTTGTGTTGTACATTTATCTCCTAGATGAAATCACAGCTAGTTTCCGCAGATTCGGTCAACTGGTGGTCGACTGGCCTCACAAAGCTGAGAGCAAGTCTTACTTTCCGCCAAAAGGATACGCTTTTCTTTTATTTCAGGTATTTATTGGTCTTAATCAATTATTTAGTATAAATATTCAAAAATACTCTCTTTGATTTTTTTCTTAATATATTCTGGATTAATTAATACATGAGATGACCTTCAGATTTCGAATAACCATAAAATAAAATAAAATATGTACTCATGTACAGGAAACCTATTGTTTCTATAACCACAAGTATTTGAAGTATGAATTTACAGGAAAGTACTATATTTTATAACTCACATTCATATTTTAATTTCCCTGTTTTTTAAATTGTGGGTTCATTCATAATTTTTAATTTAACGTAGTGTTTATAATTTAAAAATTATAAAACTTAAAAATATTTCCATATAGCATATTATTCAATGGACCACCGGGACCGCTTAGTAAAAATAATAATAATAATAATAATAATAATAATAATAATAATAATAAAGCTCCGTAACATTACAGATTAAGTGTCATTAAATAAATAATATCTCTATTGTCTTTTATCACTAAATTAATAATATCATATTACATATCACACATAATCAATGTAATTTATATTTTATATGTATGTATAGAAAATAATTTAATAGTTCGCTATTTGCACTTTAGTTCATCTGAACTATATTGTATTCAATTAATAAATGTATTAAGGTAAGAATCGTCTTCACAAGAATAATAATTAGTATCTACTTAAAATTAACCTTGAGACAATCTCATTAAAGGTCGTTGAATACCGTATAACAAGATAATTGTATGGAATATTAATTTGACGATATCTGTCCATTCGTAAAAACAACCTATTGTTTAGAATAAATAACTTGATTATTTATTTATTATCAACGTAAAAATCTAATAATTTATTTACTACATTTTATTATTTGTGATTTTTTCTTAAATACCTATACATGTTTTGAATAGATCATTTTTATTGTGACTCGTGTAATATTATACAATATGAGTCTAGACATTTTATTTCTACTACACAGGGCCTTATTGCCCATTAAAATGTTCAGTTTTCATAAATGCGAATAACAACCGAATAAAGAATATTAACTTTTTGTTTTTAAACTTGATACATATTTTTCAATTTGTTGAAGTTTCTTAAACCCGTTATGAAAAGCGTATATAACTTATAAAATATATTGTTTTAGCCGTCGACATACAAGGTAAATGTTGCACTATATCTTAAATTCTTATATAAGTATACTTAACAAACCAACAAACTTGACCTCTACAACTTTTATAAAATTATGAAAACAAGATTAATATAAGTCTAAAGGGTTTGAAAAAGTTGTTTTAAAAACAAACATTAAATATCAACTCTGCTGCATTTCTTAATTATAATGTAAAGTATTCGTTAAAGATGAGTTCAATTTTATTTTTTTTAAACAGTTGTAAAATACAAATTTTCTTCGGTGATTTGATATCAATTTTAAATTGTGTGTGTGAAAAAAAATTTAAAAGCCTGTCCTGCGGAAAAAGTTACTTCGATTATCTCATTTATGTTATTATTGAATTAAATAAAAATATAATTAAACAAACAAACAAATGAACTCGTTGATAAATTATTTTTGCAAACTTGAGGGCGTTTTTAAAAAAAAAAAAAAACTCCGAAATGCCTTCTTCATTTATGTATTTGATTCATTTCGTGTTTGTGTGTGTGTTCCAATTATTTGGCAAATTACCAATTGGCCCAAAACTTACATTTTTTCGCACCCATTGCACGGGCATACTAGAAATACAACGAACGGCAAAAGCGACAGAGAGATATATGGTCTTTGGGTTATTTTTTTTTTCAAAACAGCTGATGTCAATATACCATGGTATAGTATATATAATTATATTATTATATTATATTATGTATTATTATACATATATACTATACCATCGTTATATTATAATACATTTTATACTTACTTACCTACATACCAACTGTCGTTTGGATATTTTTTTTTACGATATATTTCTGCTGCAGGACGAGTCTTCGGTACAGCAATTGATCGACGCGTGCATTCAGGACGACGACAAACTATACTTGTGCGTGTCTTCTCCGACCATCAAAGACAAACCGGTGCAAATCAGGCCTTGGCGTCTGTCCGACGCCGATTTTGTGCTGGACGCATCCATGCCGCTAGATCCTCGGAAAACCGTGTTCGTGGGTGGCGTACCCAGACCGTTGAAAGCCGGTAAGTTGTAATAACGAACACGATGAACATTTACAAGTATTATTAGTTATCACTAGGTATTGTAATCATTTTATCAAGATGCAATCTAAAATTCGAAAGTGAAAGAGATCTCAGCTGGGACTCCTCGACCCAATTAATCTCTCCTCTCCCCCGCTTACAACCCCGTTAAAGATGTCATTGTACTTATTCAAATTTAATATGGTATTACTACTATATATATATGTTTGCAATACACAATTGGGTTTTTTCATTTTTTATCACTGTCCTCCTTTTTACTTCTAGTCGAATTGGCTATGATCATGGACAGATTGTACGGCGGAGTGTGTTACGCGGGAATCGACACCGATCCAGAGCTTAAATATCCAAAAGGAGCCGGCCGAGTAGCATTTAGCAATCAACAGAGCTATATTGCCGCCATTAGCGCCCGCTTCGTACAGCTCCAGCACGGTGACATCGACAAGAGAGTGAGTATGATTTCCCGTCCACGGCGCTGCGAAAAACAAATTCACCGAAGAAGTAGTTCGGGTTGAGGGAAGGGGGGTTTGGGTTTGGAGGTTCGCTGGGCTACACAATATATGCCCCCGGGGTCATGAGTTTTGTTTCGAATTTCTATCAAGTATAACACAAATATTAAAATTAAATCATAAAAGTTTCTATTGTAATTTGTAGTGTAAACTATGTAGGATATCATTAGGTAATAGGTATAATATAAATCATTATTATTGTACCGATTGGACCATACGCATACCTGCTTACCAACTAAACCGACCGTGTTGTGAGACAAATCCTCTCCAGTAATACCTACCTCTGCAGGTATTGCAGTGTGGGAGATGATAAAAATATTTAGAAACAACTCAATACGGAGAGCGCACTACGTTTGATCAACTTCTTGGATTCTTTTCTCAACACCTTTTTTACTTTCGTAACACTATTTATATAACTACGTTAGGTTAGGTTATTAACCCATTCATATCCCACTAGATAAAATCTAATCTCAAACACGTCACTGAGTATGATGCTTGGTTTACCTCATTCAGCATATTTACATACCAATGATATTAATTTTTGTTGTTTCTCACCTCCTCTTTACTATATTGTCATCGCTGTTGTCTGGCGATATAATTTTATTGATTTGGTTGTTAACATACTTGATTTTGTGATCAAGGTTGAAGTCAAACCGTACGTGCTTGACGATCAGATGTGCGACGAGTGCCAAGGACAGAGATGTGGTGGCAAGTTCGCACCGTTCTTTTGCGCCAACGTCACTTGTTTACAAGTAAGCGAGCCGTGAGTCAAAATAATTCTATTAGTTTGGTATTATTATTTTGATTTTGGTTTGATTTGTTGAATTTATCTTGTACACATATATACAGTGCATTCATAAAGTTTAGAAGCGTGAATTGCAAAACAATTTGAAGACATTAATTAAACGTTTTCAAACTTTTTGAACGCCTTATAAGTTGGTAAGCCCTGTCGTGCCGTGTTAAGAGTACCATAATTAATATTTTTAAATTTATAGAATATATCTAATTTATAATATGCGCCTTTAAATGTGCCACTTTTTTTTCATATTTATATGTATTGTGAAAATAAATCTCTATTTCGCGTTTCGTTATCGGACATTATTATATCTATTATTATATTACATTAATTCGTGGTCAACTCGGTTCGGAATTTTAGGGCAGGTCTGAGTTATTTAAAAAACAATGTATATGTTTTCAGTACTATTGCGAGCTATGCTGGGCAACGATCCACTCGAGACCGGGCCGGGAATTTCACAAGCCGTTAGTTAAAGAAGGCGCAGAACGTCCAAGAACTGTGCCTTTCCGTTGGTCATAACGTAAGATTCCGTAACGAGTAGTCACATTTTATTAATCCACTTGTTTGTTTTGTTTTTTTATTTTATTTTATTATTCTTACGCATGTTTATACAAATGATATAAAAAAATTTAATGTTTTTGAATAGTCTTTTTAAAATCTGTCGTTTTTTAATGCGAGAACTGTTTTTTACAATTTTTTTTAATCTACCTTTATTACACAATTAAGCCTCTACTGACTTAGGGAAATTGACGGTTTTTTTTTATTGTAATTATTCTTTAGGACTATTTAAATAATTCAGGGTAAACACAATGGATAGGGCTCTTTACACCGAGCAAAAACGAATTGTATTAGTACTACAAACGAATTGTATTAGTACTACACAAACCTTCCAAAGAACTTAGATTTTGTTTCGTTAGAACTATTTTTCATTTTATTTTTATTGTTTTTCAACTGTTGGTTTTTCTCTTTATACTTAGATAATATGCAACTTCCAAAAAGATTTTTTTTGTTTAATGACCTAACTTAAGAGTTTTGTTTTTATTTTATTTTAAAGTTTATTATTTTTAGACAAATTGTTTCGACTACTGCCACCTTTTTATCATACAATTTTTATAGATATTGTTTTAATTTTGTTTTTTTGTTTTGATAAAATGGTTTTTTTATATACACATTTAATATATATATACATATAATATATATATATGTATATATAAATATATACATATTTATATATAACATATATAAATTAATTAAATATTGACATTATTAATTTGCGAGTTAAATCAGTTTGGTATTTAAACCTTTATTTTCCCATGATTTTTGTTCTTAATATTATCTTATTATTAATTATTTATATTTTTGGGGGCAATATTGTTTAGAATAACCAATATATCTAATTGATATTGCGGACGTGGACCACAGGTGTTACCTATAGCAATCGAAACTCTTTAATAAATTAATTAATTATCAATGTGCAATGTTTCGTAAATTAAATGTATGCATGCATCCATGCAAACAATAGGTGTGCCCTTTTCCTGGTTTTTCGCCTAAGTTTTAAATTACAATATGAAATAAAAAGAATACGATATTAAATATATTTTTCTACTTCTTTTTTATATTTTTTAGGCAGCTTCGTTACGTCTTAGCCTAGTTACCAATTCTAAAACGTTAAAAGTTAAAAATAAGAAGAAAAAAATATTTGAAATTACACAAAACTGAAAACTGGTGTTTTCTCGTCAAAATTTGTATTACCTTTTTTTAAGTAAAAAAAAAAATGAATAACGTTTGTTGAATGTTATTTAGTTTCAAAAGTTTTTAATGTTTCGTTATTTGTTTTTTGATATTGATAGTATTTAGTTTTTAAAAACCTACCTTTATTTTTTATAATAATTCTCTATATTTTTAATATACTCTACTATACCCTTAGGAACCCGATCGTTTTTATAAAATACCTCAATTTTTGAGGAATGCTTAACGCAGGTCTTCTGCCCCTCTACCCCTCATTTTTCCACTGAAATTGACAATGTTCCTGGAGTATAAATTATCGGCGACATAGAAAAAAATGTACCAACCGTAATATATTTACATTGTTTCAGCAAAACGTATATGAATTACCAACATTTTTCAATTGGTCGGTAGCATTGCATGTAAATCTTAAACATTATTGAATTGAATGTCGTTTAAGTCCTTTGGTCGATACTGAATTATTTCCAGTTGTGTCCTAAATGATAACGCGTATCATTTGCACATAATTGCCTCCTGCTATTCATTATTTGTACGTCACGTTAGTATCGAGTTTCCGATAATCAAATCATATCAGTAATTGATGATAAGCCATCAATTAATTTATATAAACATTCAAGGACATTCTCCACTTTAACATTTTACATCATGGTGCTGCCGATGCAAACGATATATACATTATACAGCAATATTAAAATACTAACAATTATTTGGCCCTCCTTTTCCTTTCTCTCGTACCTCAGTTTTCATTGTCATTCGATTTGGTAACGTTAAGCTGAGAAGATAAAATCAAAAAACAAGCAATTTAAATACATTGTACTTAAGTTAAAATATATACTATACATTTTTCAATAAAAATAAAAAAAACATAATAAATAATAAAATAATAATACATTTTTAAGAATGGTGATTTATACTATAATAATAGATGATACTGCGTTTTCTTGCACTTGATTTAGAGAGTAATGATAAATTTCACTATGTACATAAAAAAAAAACAAAATAATTATGGTTTAGGCAAATTGTTGTGTTTTCATTTTTTTGGGGGAAAAATTTAGTGTAATTTTTATCATGAATCGATAAGTTTTTTAATCGCACCTAAAATATATAAAATATTTATAGCGAATTTTTTCATTATATACATTAGGTTATTGATAATATGTAAAAAAAAGAAAAAACCAAAAAAAATAATTTTTAAAATATTTTGGCAGTCAGATTTTACTAGTTTCTAGTCAAATTATCATTAGCCCATTATGTTCCTAAGCACAGGAGCCATATTTAATAATACAAATATTAAAAGTAGATACTTTTTTTTCTTTTCTATTGCTCATTACTATAACAATTAAACAATTTTAACAGTACACATTTTCAAAAAAGATTTTCCACTTTTAAAATAATAATTTTACTTTTTAAGCTGACAACTGATATTTTATATATTATTAAAATTAAAATTACAAATATTATTCAAAATTAGACTTAGTTATTTTGAGATAACAAAAATAAATAAATAGTTGTATTTTTTTTAAAACTTTTTTGTCTATTAAATGCTAAGTAAAAAGAAAGCATTACTTTAAGTGTTCATCGGTGTTTATATATAATAATGTCTGTTTGTCATTTAGTGTTTTGGCTTGTGTGGTTTTTGCGGTAGGGAAATAATTTTAATTTTTCTTGAAAAATAAAACAATCTTTTATAATTTTATTACAAATTTTAATATTATGTAATTACTTGTTTTTATTTCGCTGGCCATTCTGACATACATGTATTTGGCTGTGATACAGTATTTTGTACATCTTTTATTTTTTAACTGCATAATGCTCGTTTAATTGAATTGTTGACTCGTTTTTCTTTTCTTTTACTCTTTTTTGAGATGAAAATGGCTATATTTATTTTTCTTTTCTTTTTTTTTTTCATATACATTTATAATAATTACTATAACTTGTCCGGTTTTCTGTAAGGGTCGGTTACCACTTAATATATTTCGTTTTTTATTTCTTAATAGTGCAATTACTTCTCTGTGTAAATAAGTTGTTTTGTTTTTCCCATAATTTTTTTAATTGATCAATAATCCTAGGGTTTATCATTCTCGTTCCTCTTACAGTTCGAATGATGATAATAATAATAATAATAATAATAATAATAATAATAATTAAAATTTATATCTACACATTTTTTTTTTTATTTCCTGTGGCTCAATATTTTCTTCCATACAAATATTCTATTCAATAGGTTATTCGCTACAAGCCAAACACATATTTAACTAAACGGTCACAAAGTCTTAAAACATAGGTTATCCCACTTTTAATTCACCGTCAATCATAATATATTGCAATGGAATAATTATTATTTTTTGAATTTATTTTTAGTTTTTGTTGTCGAATTATTATTATTAGTATTATTACTATTACTGTTTTTTTTTCAAAACATCAAATATAATAATAACCATTTATGTTATTTATTTTATAAACTGTTTGACAAACTTTAGTAAAATTTATTGTATTATTTGTTTAACTAATATTTTACCACTATTTGTTATAAACGACGATTACCATTTTGCTGTTGTTGTAGGATCTATAAGCTAATAATTATTGTGTTTTTTTGAACTGATATTTTATTTCTGTATAATCCAAATACACACATGCATTCAGAAATTTGTTATTTTCTTTTTTCTTTTATATTTAAATAGGCAGGACTGTGATATGATCAATAAGAATGATTGTAACAACAGATACCTATAATATGTTTGGTTTGTTTAATTTTTTTTTTCTTTATGGTCTAATTAATTTTGTAACACATTTTTAAACAATGTCGATCGTAATGATCTCTTGTCCAGAAAAATAAAAAAGTAACTTACATCTTGTTAAAAATAAAAAAAATAAAAAAATGTTATATTGTTTTTGGTTTTTATTCTATTAGTTGGTTTTTTTATTTACCTGGGATTTTTATTTATTATTTTATTCATACATCATATTATATTTTTTTTCTACATAACTTTTATTTAGCGTTTTTTGTTTGTTTTATTAATTTATTTAATTTATTGATTTTTTTTTTTTGTTTTATGCAATATAAAACGCATATTTTAATTTCAAAGACACAAAATATAATATCATATTGCCAGCTGGAAGGGAAAGTGAGACTTGAGTTCAATAATTTTGCTTTTTGTTAACTTTATAATTAAAAAAAAAAAAATTATAATAAACGTAATTACCTAATTATTTACTATAATAGAGATGGAAAATAAATGATAAAATATTCTTTTGTAGTATACCTAGTTTAGATAAAATGCTAAAAAAAAAACTAGCCTATGCTAAATATATTATTTGTGTGCATTTTTTTTCATCACTCCTATTTTTTATGAATTTTGTACGTTTTTCTAATATATATTTTTTTTTGTATACTACGTATTTTTTAAATGTAGTGATGTTGGACAAATCCATTATAAAAGATTAAAACAACTTTTTTTTACCCAAATACCATAAATTCAAATTGTTCTTTAAAAAAAAAATTATGATGATTTCATTGTAATGTTTAAGAAAAGATTTGTCTGTCTTTATTATTTCATTTTAATAATATATAAATATTATATATCATGTATAACACAAAGTGTCCAACTTGCTTTTCCCGGTAACTTGCCCCGATATTTCGATTGGGTCAATTTATTATGGTTTTGTTTTTGTTTTTATTTTTATTTTTTTTTGTTTTGTTTTGTAAAATCATTATAATAATGTATATCCATATAATAAAAAAAAAATTACAATATTATCTTTTGCTGTTTTTATTTCATTTTGTCGCGTTCTAAGGTCAATCGTTGTAAATAATGTATAGTATTTTCTATGTTATAATTATATCAATTGTCAACTACTGTTCCCGCAGCAAACAGGTGCCTGCTGCAATAATGGTTCATCAGTGTTGTGTATGTAATACTCTTCACAATAAATTAACGTCGTTGTATAATATGCAACTGTTGTTAAGGTTTTTCGTACTCATATACCTAATAGAGCAATTACGTTTGCACAAATATGCAACTCGAATGCTCCCAAAATTAATGATGCGGTCCGACCCATCTGGGTAAGTATATGAAGCCTAGCCTAGCCTAGCT